ATGGCCTTTCCTGTTCAGACTGAATTTGAATCTCCATCCTCAGGTCTCAGCCTCCTGAGTAGTTAGGATGACAGGCGTGAGCCACCGGTGCCCTTCTCATAGTCCATCTTTTTTTTTTTTTTTGGTGTGTCATGGTGCTTGAACTCTGGGCTTGGCGCTGTCCCTGCACTCTTCAGCTCAAGGCGAGCGCTCTACCGCTTGAGCCACAGCGCTGCTTCTGGTTTTCTAGTGGCTTATTGGAGATAAGCATCTCACGGACTTTCCTGCTTAGACTGGCTTTTGATCCTCAGATCTCAGCCTCCTGTAATAGGCATGAGCCGCCGGCGCCCGGCTTTCGTAGTCCATCTTTAAAGGACGTATTTCTGCTTCGGGTGCTGTCCTGTGACAGTGTCTGTTCTGGTTTCACTGGCTCCCCTCCCTCACTACTTCTCCCTTTCTGAGCTGCCTTGGTGCTGCAGTCCATCCAGCCGAGCAGGCCTCATGAAGTAGGCCCCTCCCAGCTGCTTCTCCCACCGGGGCTCCTCAGGAAGAACCGGGAGGCCCTTTCTAAGTGCAGCCCAGCCAAGCACGCGGTGGAGCAGCAGTAGTGAGCCACTCTCCCTGCCTTCCGGCTTTACTTGAGTCACACAGGTCACTGCCCCCTTGTGGACATGTGACCACAATAGATTCAAGGACGAAAGCCCTTCATTTCATCCTTTGTAAAGAAACTTCAGACTAGCAATCTCTACAGAAAAACAGCAAAGGAATTTTATTTCCTGTTCTCCATAGCAGTCAGTGACCTTATTGTTTGTCAAATATGATGTGTTAACCCTTTGTAAGAAGTGTGTTACAGCTTGTGCTATAGCTTACACCTGTCATCCTAGCTACTCAGAATGCCAGAACAGGCAGGAAAGTCCATGAGGCTCTTACTTCTAGTGAACCAGCAAAAAGCTGAAGTGGAGCTGTGTCTCAAGTGGTAGAATAGCAACTAGTCTTGAGCTAAACAGCTCAGGAACAGCATCCAGGCCTTGAGTTCAAGCCACAAGATTGGCATACACACACATACACACATTTTCTCTTTCCCTCTCTCCCTTTCTCCTTCTCTTCTCTCCCCCCCCCCCCCCCCAAATATAAAAGAAGTGTGTTATAGGGTTGGAAGCTTGGCTCAGTTGGTAGAGCATTAGCCTTGGAGTGAAAGTGTCAGGTACCAAGTTTGAGTACCAGTCTTGCACCAAAAAAAAGTGTGTTAAAAAATAAAAAGAAGTGTGTTGTGTAGAAAGTGGTACAGGCAAAACAGGTTATTGGATGTGCACTTGGGAACAACAAATTTCATCTGAAAGAGAAAAGGGGAGGGTGGCATAGGAGACATTGGAAGAAATAGGGATTTATATGAATGAATTGGTGCATTGAAGCTTATTGGCTTTTACTGCTGCTGTTAAGATTGCATTTGAGCTCTGTGTGTGTGTGTATGTGTGTGTGAAAGAGAGAGAGAGACATACAGACAGACAACATTAGCTTGAACTCAGTGCCTCAGCTCTGTTCTTTAGCTTTTTCTACTCAAGGCTAGTGCTCTACCACTCAAACCACATCTTTACTTTTGGCTTTTTGCTTGTTAATTAGAAACAAGTCTCATGGCCTTATCTGCTTGGGCTGGCTTCAAACTGTGATCCTCAGATCTCAGCCTCCTTTGTATCTAGGATTACAGGTGTGAGCTACCAGCACCTATTTTAGCAACTTATTTATTTATTTATTTTGTTGGTCGTGGGTCTTGAACTCTGGGCCTGGGAACTGTCCTTCGGCTCTTCAGTTCAAGGCTAGTGCTCTACCACTTGAGCCACAGTGCCACTTCCGGTTTTCTGATGGTTTATTGGAGATAAGAGTCTCATGGTCTTTCCTACCCAGGTTGGCTTTGAACCTCTATCTTAAGGTCTCAGCCTCCTGAGTAGCTAGGATTATAGGCATGAGCCACACTGGTGCCTGCCTGTTTTATTTATTTATTAAAGAAGATGGCACAGTAATACTTTCAGGTAATGTTTGCAAGTTTGGACAAATTTGCCTCTGTAAACAAAACAAAATATTGTGCCTCCACAGCTATCTTACTTTTTTTTTTTTTGGTTGGTCGTGGGCCTTGAACTCTGGGGCCTGGGCACGGTCCCTCAGCTCTTCAGTTCAAGGATAATACTCTACCATTTGAGCCATAACACCACTTCTGGCTATCTTACTTTTGTGGGAGGTCAACAAAGGAATATAAAAATGATTTTTGATTTTTGTGCTTTTCTCCAATTAACCACCAGAAAACAGTACGAAGTAGCGCCGTGGCTCAAGTGGTAAGAGTGCTAGCCTTGAGCTGAAGAGCTGAGGGACAGCACTCAGGCCCAGAGTTCAAGCCCCATGACAGACAAAAACAAAAACAAAGCTTAGTGGTTTCCCTATCAGAAGGTCTTCCTTTTTCCCTACCTCCCTTCCTCTCTCCCTCCCAGTGCTAGCTAGTACTGGGGCTGGAGCGTAGGGTCTGGGCACTCTCATTTAGCTTTTTCACTGATGGCTGGTACTCTACCACTTGAGTTATACCTCTGCTTTCTGATTTTAGGAGGTGGTAACTTGGAGATAAGGCTCTCATGGACTGTCCTACCCCGACTGGCTTCAAACTATGGTCCTCAGATCATAGCTTCTTGAGTAGCTGGGATTTCAGGATGAGTCACTAGTACCTGGCATAATTTGTTGTTGTTTTCTTTCATTTTTAAACCCAGCTCTGTTTGATTTTTGGATTATAGAATTTTCTCTCTTTAAATTTTGTCCTTGGCAGTCCAATTGCAAATAACATCTCAGCATCCGAATACAACTGCTTGGGTTCCAGTGGTTATTTATTTATTTATTGTTAAAGGAGTTGGGGGCATGGCTCACCCACGTAAATTCAGAAGGCCTTTGTTATTCTACTTCCATGTCTGACATTCATCTGCCACCTCTCATGAACATCTGTATAAGCACGGATACAGAAGGAAGCCATAAGCGCTTTCTGTGCAGAAGCAGCACCTGCTGGTGGAAAGTTCTTTTGTAAATTCAGACATGGACTGTTGTTGGTGTCTCCTTGAAAGTGGTTCCTGGGGTGACTGTTTCAGGAAAGGATGGGGGAGGTGGGGAAGCCAGGGCGTGGGGGGGTAGCCATGGACACGTGTGCCATCTTACCAGCAACTTGGTTTTTACTCTGAAAAGCGTATGTGCCCAATTTCCATATTTACTAATTACAAAAGCTTCCTGGGAACATTAAGTAGACTATCTTCTATAACCTTTAACACCACCACTAATGGATACAGCCTAGGAAATTTCACCGAAGGTCCTTTAAATAATGTAAATGATTATGAATATGTAACTAGTTAATATGCAGCTACGAACGGATTATGATGTGGAGGTTAATGAACATTCCGCTCTTAGGGTTTGCAGCTTTTCTTTTTTTGTGCCTTTGGTTCAAGTCACGCGTGGAGACACATGCACTAGGCTTGGAAAACATCCTGTTTTTTTTTAAATTTTATTTTTTAAGAATCTCATCTGTAAATGGGGCTAAATGGGAAATTTATTTTAAAAAAAAGATTTCCATGAAGATTCCCCCCCCCCTTTATTTTCTCCCAATTTTTACACCGAATTCTGTTTTGTCTATTTTAGAATTAACTGCCAGATCCAATCAAGTGACGCGGATTGATGTAGTGTTAGCTTGCCACTTCCAGATGTAAAGTCAGTACTCTATAATAGATTACCACTGTTATTAAGTGTTGCTCTGTGATTGATACTTAACTGCTAGATCTTCTTTGGGGAACAGACTCCTTATGCTGTGTTAATGTGTACTATGGTCGGGTATATGTTTACAACATGTATTTTGGTACAGGATCGCTTGTCTTAGTATTTAAAAATGTCCCCAAAAGGAGGACGTTTATTTCAGGAATTAAATGTTATAATAGAGGAATTTAGTGACAGGTCTGGCAACCCTCGTGATTTGGGGGTGAGGGCTGGGGTGTGTTCGGGAGGCGACGTTGGTATTTAGAGCAGTGAGCAGAAGCCAGCGTGGTGTTAGCCAGCTCACATGGCTGTCTTTCTATGTGCCCTTGACATTTGGCTCTTATCCCTTAGTTTCGCTGTCTCTAAAATGGTGCTGTGTGTTGTTTGATGGCTCTTTAAATCTTACATTAATGGGTGATTTCAAAATCGGTGATTAGCAATCTGTGAAAACCGTGTTGATTTTACAGTTCTCTCTCAAAAAGAGCGTTACTTTTTAAATTGTATTTCCTCCAAACTGATTACAGAGTTCCTGCTTGCTTTCTGAACATTTGGAAAATCTATTGAAACATCTCACAGGAAAACAAATAGCTTTCTTGCTTAATTCCATTGTTTTTAGAATTATAAACATAGTTTATAAAGTGGCCATGAAGTGCTTAAAATGTTACCATAATTCAGTGGGGGGGAAAAATGAGCTGTTCAGAGCATCTCTTTATCCCAAGGAGTTCTTCTTGAAAACGTAGTAGAAAAATATTCCCAGATTCATTGTGAATACATCAGAATAAAAATTACAGGTGAAAACATTCAGAGATAATACTGACAAAAATAAAATATTTTCACTCATTTTTTTTCTTTTTCCTGATGAAGCATAGATGTTACACTGTTTTCTTGTTATTTATAACATTTGTGTATTCTACAAAATATGTAACATTTGTAAACAGGTCTGAAGATTGTACAAAATACTAGTTATCTTCTATCATATGTCAGCTGATAGTTACCAAGCGGGCTTTGTACCCAAGTATGAATTGGAAAGCTGCCATTTGTTTTGCCGTTTATCAGCCGGCATTAGAGAGTGATGATAAAGTATGCTGCTTAAAAACTCACATTCAAATCTCTGTGCATTTGACAAATAAAAATGTATAGCAAGATGCTATTAAATCTGTAAAGTCAGTGTTGCAAGCTTTCTGATGTACTGATTATGTGGAGCCCTGTTTTTTTTTTTTTTCATGAGTAGTTATCTGTTTTCATGACAGGTGGTCACTAGCTGCCAAGAGAAAATCCAGCACTGGTGAGTCAAAGATAATTTCATTTTATACTTTTGAAATACTGATGGGGTCAACCAGTTAGTTGTTTTTAAACAATGGGAGGGGTGAGTGAGTGAGTGTGTGTGTGTGTGTGTGTGTGTGTGTGTATGTGTGTGAGAGAGAGAGAGAGAGAAACATCAGTAATTGAATTCTTTCAGTAATAATCTCCATTTTGAATGCCTTCTATGCTAATGTATATTTTTTACCCTCTTCTGAATGAACATATTCCTTGATTTCCTCAAGTCGTATTGTCATTTGTGTTTATTTCATTTATTTATTTTCTTCTGTAAAGAAGTTAAGATAACATCCAGTGGATATTGAGACACATCTGAACCTAACTGATCATACATAGAGCTCTGTGTATGGTGACTGTTTTATAGATTTGTAAGAAAAGAATAATTTGAATCAGTTGTTTTAAAATGATGGTGGAACTGTCCCAAAAACATTTTTCACAAAGTTTGGAAAAATTAATTTCTTGCTTTTTAAAAAAATTTGTGCAATATTTAATTTATTAAGTAAATTAATTTTTTTGTTTTAAAGTAATTTGTCATTTAAAAATAAGTTGTGGAAAATACAACACAAAAAGGAATATTGAAACCATTTGTTATATTATCACTCAGAATTCAATATTTTTCTATATATAACACATGTATTATGAATTATGAGCTTGCTTTATAGACTGCACTTCCTTTTTTTTAGAGAGAGAAAGCATATCTATTTTAATGTGCTAATCTATAGTTAATAGGACAGTGCTTGGAAAAATAACATACTTTCCTACTCTAGTGCTTCAGAGGAAAATGCTCAATTTAATGGTGAATAAAACCTTAACATTATGAGCTGTCACGAGGTATAGCTGTTGATCTTCAGATATCAGATTACAGTACATCCATGCTGTGTTTCTGAAGATATTACAGAAAAAACACCAGGAGCCGTCTTGATGATGGTTGCAGGGTTATTGCAAAATCATGGTAACTGCCCCTTTACTGGAGAGATTAAACCTCCCGTTATACACCACCAAGCATATAATATTTTAAATTTAGTTTAAGAGGCTTTTTCTTCATGCCTGAGAGACCTCCAAGGAAATAATTTATAGTTAGTATATACCCAGTGTTTTTGGTTTAAATACACATAAACTGCAAGGAGTGGGTAAGAGGGAAAAAATCTTGCAGTCTCTTCTCCAGTTTTGACTATTGGTGTGAAAGAAGGAATCTCAAACCAATACCACCCACTTAGAAATAAAAATTCAGGACTTCTTCATTAATTTTCAGCAAATGCCTCATTGTAATTGCAATTCACCACTGGTGGTGTAAGCCTGTCAACATTTCCACACTGGCTCATTTTCTTCTCATTACACGCTTAGCCCAGGTTAAAATCTGGAGGTTTATAACCTGGCCAGAGGAAGGGTTTTCTCTTACAAATTTGGCCAAAGCCATCCAAGTTTTAGAAGTCATTGCCAGGGGAAGTTATTATTTTAACGCAGACTCATGTCTGTCTTGGTTATGGGGAGGAAATGAGAACAGGATGTATTCCCTCAGAACAGCTGGGTTTTCACAGAAGTGTGAGCAACATTGTGCTTCTGGTTGGTTTAATGGGGAAATGCTTTCTCTTCTAGAAGGTTCTATGAGGATGTAGGCTTGTGTCCCTCCTTTCTCTGTTTGATACAAAATAGGTACCTAATAAAAGTTTGAAGAGATGAAAATGAAGCTTACAGTTATTTTATACATAATTTTTGTATGTCTTTGCAAGTCTTTAAACAGTGACAGAAAAATTTCTTGGTAGGTCCTCGTAACCCTGAGCTTGCCTTTCCAGTTGCCCCCAAATCCTCCAGACCACAGAAGCTCAGCTTATTTGCTACATATAGCTTAACAAAAGATTATCCCATATCTTTACATTCCTTATTTAATTTTTATTTGTTTATTATCTTTAGTTGTTCAAAGGAGTTTCAATTCAACATGTTGGTTTATGAACACAATGCATCTTGATCAGTGTCACCTCTTTCTCTCCTATCCCAGCCCCACCCAACATTCCTTATCTTTTACATTTTCATTTAAAACATTAAAATTGTTTCCTCCCCCTAATTTAAATTTGCATTTTTCCTCTGAATCATTTCTGATACGGTGTAGGGACCAGACTGTTGGATCTTTAATGAGAATCTGTCACAGTATCATGACATTGCTAGAATCTAAATGACCAGTGAACTCACAGATTTATAATGTTCTCAAATGGAAGGCAAATTATTTCCATTCTCCCGAAAGCCAGGAAATTGTGGAATTCTCATGATATTTTTATGTTCCCCTTAAGTCCTCAAGCAGTAATTCAGTTCTTGCTCCGCCGCGTTAATATCATGGGGCTGTGTGGAAAGGGAGCCCCTGTCATGGACTGGCTCATCATCATCCAGGGAAGGGCGGTCGCAGTGGTGTGCTGCTGTTGGCAGTGATCGGAAGCAAATGCAGGAGGCTCAGGGCTCAGGTTAGGTCTGCAGCCAGCTGTGAACACAGGACCTTTCTCTCTCACACATGGTACTTGTTCACCCATCCCTGGTCTTCATGTGTTCATTCTCACTTGGTGAGGAGAAACAAATATGGGGTTTTAAACACTGCATTTTTCCCTAGTGGTATGTGTGTATGCATGTGCACAGCTTTAAAGGATTCTTTCACTTATGGACCTGTGATAGATAATCTGTTTCAGAGGTAATCTGAAATATATATATATATATATATGTATTGGTATATGTATATGTGTGCATGTGTATATGTAAAATATATTAATATACATTAGATGTATATTAAATATATATGTGATGTTATAACTTTTATATATTAAATACATGTTAATATTAATATATAAATGGATTAAATGTATAGAAATATACATTATATGTAATTATAATGTATATATCATATTTTAATGCATATTTAGTATATATGTGTATATAAAATATGTAATACATTTATATATATGAGACATAATATTTTGCATATGAAATGTAGGTCTGAGTACAGTATTTGTAGAAAAAGTTGGAATAAAAATGATTTGGAACCATAGGACCTGCCCGGTAAATGAATTTAAATTCCAGATCTGGGGTGATCTACCAAGTATATAGAATTTGTTTAGTTAATAACAGATACAAAGGAAACATTTGAAACTAAAAGGTGAGAATTTGTGTTTCAGAGCTCATTAATAGTGGTTTTCAATTTAGTTTTCAGTAAAATTTTAGACTTTAAACTTCTCAGTTAATACTTTTGCCTTAATTCAGGAAATAACACTATTTTCTCCTTAAAATGAGAGCCCACTGTTTTTTCATTTGGAGAGTCATAGACCTACATTTGAATCCAGTCATGTTGTAACTTTGTCCCCTGGCCAGATCTGCTGGCCTCCTGGGCACATTGGTTCTACTTCACTCACTGGGCAGGGCAGGAGCAAGACCCCCAGCCTGGCCCTGAGTGCAGTCAGTTTCCTGAGAGTATTAATTGTCTTGTGAGTTCTTCACATTCAGGCTGCTACCCTACCCGTTTATCCTGATGCAGACCTGGCTTTTTGAGCATTGTTGTGGCAGCTCTTTGTTATTAATACCTTAAAAGAATGATGCTAACAAAAAGGTGATTGGTATAGTGACTCCTACACCTCACCTGCCAGTCAGGCAGCTTGACTGTCAGCCCATGGTTTTACCTAAACTTCAGTGAACACCCATCCCACCATCCACCCCTTGAAGTGAATCTAATTCACTTCATTCTATTCGGACATATTTTAACATATAGCTTTAAGAGATAAAAAGATTTATCGTTTAGGATTTAAATTACATATGTTATATCTATTGTTTATATTAGTATTGGGGATTGAACTTGGTTTGCTGGGCAAGCACTTGAGCCATGCCCCTACCCTGAAATAAATACTTTCAGTTAGGCATTGCATTTAAGAGACACTGAAGAATGTAAGTGACACACATTTTCTTCATCCATTGGTCCTGTAGTTCTTATTTGCCTTTTCTGGAAGCAGTTGCTATTTATCTTTTATTTTGTCCCCGTTTTCTGTCTTTGTAGAAATACTTCATGCAAAGCAGAGTGAGTGTGTGATTCATGCACACATTGTATATATTTCGCTCCCATGCTTTGGACTAAACGAACATCAGATGACACAGTATTCAGTCACCACTGCTTGTTGTTAAAGTTTTCTTCATTCAAATATATTTCATTGCCTGGCACTGGTGGCTCATGCCTGTAGTCCTAGCAAGTCAGGAGGCTTAGATCTAATGATCACAGTTCAAAGCCAGCCCAGGCAGGAAGGTCCTGGAGACTGTTATCTCTATTTAACCACCAGAAAACCAGAAATGGAGCTGTGGCCTTAAATGGTAGTGCTAGCCTTGAGCAAAAGAGCTCAGAGACTGCACCGAGGCCCCATGATCCCCACAAAAAAAAAAACAACAACAACAAAACCAAGAAGCATTTCATTGTGTCCTGTGTCTTAACTTTCAGGCTTGCCAAATACTGTTCTGTTTTGCTTCTCAATAAATAATGGCCAGCATCCTTGGTAAAATGATATGGCCATTATTTTATTGCTCTGCTGTAAAACCACCCCCAAAATCAATGGTTAAGACCACTGCCATTATAGGACTAGTCACCTGTGCATCACTCCTGGTCTTATTTGCACTCTGGTTGGGTGACTCTCAGTGATCTGTGCACAGTATTACTCTATGGCTGTGATGGCTGAAACTGGGCCTGTATGTCTACCTAGGTCTTTGAAACCCAGACACCCTCAGTTTCTATGGTGTGGTTACAGTCAGAGTAACTCACCAGAGCTAGCCTAGACTCACAAGTGGGGAGATGATCTCTCCTGTTGGAGGACTGCAGAAGAATTCATGTTCAATTTTTTATTTTAATGCCAGGCTCGAACTCAGGGTCTGGGTGCTGTCTCTTAGCTTTTTTTGCTCAATGCTGGTGCTCTACTACTTGAGCCACAGCTCTACTTCTCATTCCTCCTCATTACC